CCCCCGCTGCGGTGCACACCGGCGCTGGCCGGGGCCTGGGGGCGAGGAGCCCCTCCCCGCGCCGCCTCTCCCGGAGCCGGGGCAAAATCCAGCCTTGAATCCGATTGCGACAGCCCAAGCGGGAAGACGCAAACTAATAAAAGCCAGCGGGTGTTTCTGCCCCTGTGGGTTTTATTTTTTCCCTGCCTGAAACTCCTCTCGAAGTTGCGGCGTCAACAGCTGGCAAGTCCGGATTGCGGCTGTCCGGCTGCCGTCATTGGAACATCCTGCCAGATGTGCTGTGAATCTCTGTATCGTGACATACCTGTCTCGTGTATCATGTAAACCATGAATCACGTGGTTTAGGCACGTACGTGTGTGCGTGTGTGTAACACGAAAATGTTAAGTCTTTGAATGGTTGGCATAATCCCGTGTTTTAATACCACTTACATCCTGCTTCTTGGCATTGTTAGTTCCAAGAGATGATTGAAGGGGAGCTGAAATTTTTCTTCTACCCAGAAGTGCAGAGATCTTTAATGTTTCTGTGCTCCCTAGTGTTTTTGGTAATTCTGTCCAGTCTGCTTTTGTTTTCTTAATTGGCTCTCATGTTTATTGCAGATACAGGTGGATATTAATGTGCACGGAGTTATTCTTTGAGGGTTTGGTGTTGGGTTTTCTGTCAGTAGCTCTAGTAGCAGTTGAGCTTTGAAGAAAATGCTGCAATTGATGTTTGTTCTCTAAATGTTAACCACTGTGGCTTTGCAAAATTCGTGGATCATGTGTATGGCTTACACATTTTCCTTCTCAACTTTTCTCTCTTTGCCCATTATTTTTTAGGCTCAGACCACTTTTTGGTGCATTCAGGAGGAAGCATTGTTTCATTAACCTTCACGGAACTGACATTATTTATGACAGTGGTAATACCTCCCTTTGCATGTAGATTTGCATAGAATCATAGTATAGTTTCGGTTGGAAGGGACCTTTAAAGGCCATCTACTCCAACCTCTCTGCAATGAGCAGGGACATCTGCAACTCGACCAGGTTGCTCAGAGTCCCGTCCAGCCTGACCTTGAATGTTCCCAGGGTTGGGGCATCTACCTGTGGATTTTTAAAACTTTCATGTTAGTTTTCTCCAGAAGCTACAGGGTATTAGAAATGCTTCCTCTACATAACTAGACCCCTCTGGTGGTATTTTATTTAGAAGTTCAGAGGTCTGCAGAGAGATTTCCAAAGTGTCGCTACTCAAGATAGAAACATCCAGGCTTTGTTACCTGCAGGTAACATGCATGTAAGAGGACTAACAATATTTCTGAACGCTTTTTCATAGTGAGGGAAAAATGTTTCTGGTATACATTATTGACGACGTGTGTATGCCTTACAGCATCAATTCAGTTGTTACCTCTTGCAGGTTCGGGAGTGGAAAAATGAAGGCAGCAAAAGATACATGTGCACTGGCCGGCCTGGCTGGTTGACTGTATCACTTCGTGTTGGAAAGTATAAGAAGACTCATAAGAACATCATGATCAACTTGATGGATGTTCTGGAAGTGGACAGTGAAAGACAGGTAACGAATTCATCACAAAGCTTTCCTAATAATTCAGTTTACAGCCTTTTTTACTGTATTTGTAGCTGAAGAGACTAGATTCCATAAAGAACAAAGGATTTTTATGGCAGTAGACCCACCCAATTTCAGGTTTTACAATGTATGCTTGGATCATTCTGTAGAGAAAAACAGCATATGGGATTGCTTAGCTTTTATGTGCTGAAGTCTGAAAGACCAGATTGATTTATGGTTTTGGGGACTGAGCAACAAGATGTTGAGGCAGAGGAGGAATCACTAAACAGTTTCAACTATTCTTAGTAGTGCTCTTAGGAATCTAAGTCTCTGAATTCTGATAACAGATTAAAGTACAATCCAGTTGTATTTTGTCATCGTTAGTGCTGAACACTTAATTTATATTGGGGGGGGAATTGGTTGGGTTTTTTTGCTTTTTAGGTTGTTCGTGTGGAGCCTTTGGTGACCATGGGCCAGTTGACTGCACACCTGAATCCCATGGGCTGGACTATTCCTGTGGTACCAGAGCTTGATGATCTTACAGTAGGTAAGGGTCCTCGTCATGACAAGAGACTCACTGATTTTGCTGCATTTTCATTAGCTTTCATTAGCAGTAACATGCTGCAATACTTTAAAGGTTACAGAAATTGAACCTTATGTTCTGTTGTGGTATTTCTGTTATAAGCACTTCCCTTTTATTTATTTTTTTTTAAATTAGTCTTAAAAGTCATGCCCAGAGCTTAAAATTGGGGGTTTGTTCCTGTAAACCACCTTCATTTTGGAGTGTGTTTCATTTGATTTGTTATGTGCTCTCTTGATAAGGTGGCCTGATCATGGGAACTGGCATTGAGTCTTCATCCCATATATATGGACTTTTTCAACATACCTGTGTGGCCTATGAACTTGTTCTTGCTGATGGAAGCCTTGTGAGATGTTCACCAGTAAGACAAAATGTTATTTTGCTATAATTTACAATGTCGTTGACAGTTATCAGTATGGATATATGATTTAGTATGACATACTTTTTGCAGACTGAAAACTCAGACCTATTTTATGCAGTGCCTTGGTCTTGTGGTACTCTGGGTTTCCTGGTTGCAGCAGAAATAAAAATGATTCCTGCCAAGAAATATGTCAAAATACTTTATGAGCCTGTGAGAGGACTGCAGAAGATTTGTGAGAAGTTTACTGAAGAATCTAAGAAAAAGGAGAATAGTTTTGTGGAAGGACTTATGTATTCTTTGGAAGAAGCAGTCATCATGACAGGAGTCTTGACTGATGAAGCTGAGCAAAGCAAGGTAACTAAAGGGAAGTTACACACAAAGGAAAAAAACCACCCCCAAAGTTTAACTGAAGCTGTGCTATATGCCAGTGTAAAACCAGAACCATTATAAAATTGGAACAATATCTTAACATGGGATTAAAAGTTAGATCTGTCTGTCAGAATATTTTAAATTACAGCTCTTTGTTACTACACCAGAGTCTGTACACTAAAGCTCTTCAATTGACAAGAAATGACCTACTGATTTCATTATTCTAGCAAATAATTTAGTCTACAGCCTTTTCATTGCAGCACCTAAGGAGGAAGAGAGTATCTTCTCTCGTACACAGAATAATGCCTGTGTATAATAACACTGCAGTTATTCAGAGTAACTTGTTTCACTGCAAGCTTTAAGACAGTTAATATTGGTAAAACACATCAGGGACATTTACAGGAGGGGCGTGCTAACTTTTCACTGTGTCCCCCAACCTGGATGTTTCTCGTCTGCCATGATACTTCAGATTAATGATGGGTTGAGATATCGGTATATTAGGAATCCAGTTCTGTCACAATCACAGTCTCTTTATTAGCTTGTAAAAGGCCAGCTTTAGCAAGCCTTATTTAAATTGAACCTTAACGGCAAGAAAGGTAAGGAGGAGCCATGCATGTGGAGAAATGAAGGCTCCCTGGGTCTCTTTTGACAGTCTCATTCAAACTCATTCACAGAGGGTATAACATTGATTCTTTACAGTAAAGGAATTTGGGGTCATACTTAATGTTTTGTAGTAAGGTGTAACTGTTATCTGTGTTGGTGTTTGCTAATGAATGCATGATTTCTTGTAGATAAACAGAATTGGCAACTACTACAAGCCATGGTTCTTCAAGCATGTGGAGAAGTATTTGAAAGCTGACAGGACTGGAATAGAATACATTCCCTCCAGACATTATTACCATAGACATACACGCAGTATCTTCTGGGAGCTCCAAGTAAGACCCAGTTCCAAAATTAAAATAACATCTGCAGGAAGGTACTCTGTTCTTTCCCAGTGTAGGTACAATGTACCTTCTTCCCCTAGGCAATACATCTGTCTTTCATGGCAGAAAAACCAGAGAAGTTTATGGCAAATTTAAGTCCTGCTTTTAAGGAAAACAAATCCAAAGACACTTCTTTATGTATAAGGTGTTGTATCATAACCTCCTAATTTCTGTTTTAGTGCTTTTATGAGTTTAGACCTTCAGTACATATTTCAGCATTAAGTGTTTATACCTACAGAGTGATTTTCAAAGACAGATGGTGGAAAAAACATGAATGTGAAATTATGGCTGAAAAATTTGCCCTGCCTAAACTCCGAGTAGTTGTTATACAGTACAGTCATTACTTTGAATTTCATAAATGTATTTGTTGTGATGTGCACTTACGCAAAACTTGATTTGGCATTCTGAAAGATTCCCATTACGAGATTTTGAATCTCTGGAGTGAGATACTGGATCCTTTCAGCTCCCAGAGAAGTTAAACAGGAGTTGGCTGTGCAGGAAATACTTAAAATTTTACAGATTTAAAATTCTTTTAAGACCTGATCTTGTATGTGTTTATTCTTGCAAGAGTTCTGTAAGTTTAGCTGCTTATGCAATCCTTCCTTAGCTGTTCTAAGATAATAGCCGACTGTTCTCTGAACTTCATTCTCTCTGCAAGCATTTGGGGCTGAGTATGTTGTGATTCGTATGACTGAAAATCAATCGTTGTAACTAGAGGCGGCTTAGGTCAGGGCCGCGTAGCTAAGTTCAGTCCAGGCCTCTCTTATTTGTTCATATTTGTATTATAGTAGTTTAGCAAAAGTATCAGCAGTTAAATTTATTGAAAATCGGGCTTAATATTGCTCTGAGAATTCTGAAGTATTTTCTTTTGGTACACTTTCACATTCTTAAGTCAAACTTCTTTTTCTTTCCTTTTTGAAGGATATCATTCCTTTTGGCAATAACCCTGTTTTCCGTTACCTGTTTGGCTGGATGGTTCCTCCAAAAATCTCTTTGTTAAAACTCACCCAAGGAGAAGCTATTCGAAAGCTGTACGAGCAACACCACGTTGTACAGGACATGTTGGTCCCAGTGAAGAGCCTTGAAAGATCTATACAAACCTTCCATGTTGACCTTAATGTAAGAACACATATTTTTAAAATGCAGCGAATCTTGGACTGTGTGTAACAAGAACTGTGACTGTTGATCTTAAGACATAATAGTCTGCTTGTGTCATTATTGTATCCTGCAGAGTACTGTGCTTTGCGAGTCTGTGATGCAAGGCTGCAGGAGAAATGAGCACAGCTTTCTGAAAAAAAGAATGAAAAGAAGGCAAATTCAACCTTCAGTAGAAGGCCAACACTTGATAACACTTTTTACCACTTTTACTAAGTGATGAAAAATTTTGTCACTTAGTAAAACTTGATCTGATTTTTCTTTCACCTAAAATGACTGGTGGTCTCACTAAACCCCAACTGTGGGAATTAATTTCCCTTTCTTGCTTTTATTTCTGAATTTATTTTAGTTAGTAGAAGAAGTACAAACTTGGCAATTTCAATTTTGGACTGACCTGGAAAAGAAAACACTACATTCTCTTTTTACTCAGAATGTGTATTCAGTTGTTGCTTTGGGACCAGGGATGGTGGATTTTTTTGGTTTTTGGGTTTTTTTCAAACATTTAAGGGGAGGAGATGTAATTCTAGAAGGACAGAGCACATATTCTGAGCATCTCAATCTATTTGTGTTACGATCATTAGAAAGTGCAGCTAAGAACCACAGCAAGATAACTGGAAAGGAAGAGCTGTGTAAGTTTCAATCCCAAATTGGGAAGAAGTCCTCTTAATTCTTCATTTAGTCACCTTTTTTAAGAGAGAGCTCAAAGGATTGTTTCGTTAAAGATAAGTGACAAAATGTTTTCTTACCTCTGCAGGTGTACCCTCTTTGGTTATGTCCTTTCATATTGCCCAATAATCCTGGTATGGTCCACCCAAAAGGGGATGAAGCAGAACTCTACGTGGATATTGGAGCCTATGGAGAGCCCCAAAGGAAACAATTTGAAGCCAGGGCTTCAATGAGGCAAATGGAGAAGTTTGTAAGAAGTGTGCATGGGTAAGGATCCTGTGCCTTAGAATAGTAATAATGCCGTGTAATTTATACCCGTGTGGTTTAATCACAGTTATTTAATGCCACAGCACTTTAATATTGCAATAATTTAACAACCACAATCATTGAAGACTAATTTTAATTACTAGTTTTGATGTTATGATTTTAAAATATGATTTCACTTTAATGATTTGATTGCAAAACCAATCAAACAGACGAGCGTGCTGGCTGAAGTTCCTGCAGTGTATTTGGGAGCTGCGTAGCGTCAGGTCACCTGTGCATCCTTTCAGCTCCCGGCTGCTCTGGGAGTAGACTCTCTGCTGCAACAAAATACACCCATGCACCCAGGTGTGAGAAAGAGCTCAGCAGGTCTGTGCTGACTGTGCGTAAGCCAGTGCCCGTCCAGAAGCAGTGTTAGCACGGTCGGTGACTGCTCTCAGCAAGGCTGGCTAGCCCAGCCCTCGGGAAAGGCAGCCGCTGAGCTTGGCTTACTGAGGCTGGCTTGTTTCAGAGCAGGGGCAGAGCAAGTGTTGTCTTGGTCGCAGTTGGCTGCAGTCCCTCCAGGAATCCCACAGGCTAAGGTTTGGACAACTTCCCTGCCTGCCCTTGGGACTTTTCCGCTCCTTGCAGTCCTTGCAGCATGACGCCACAGCTCTGCCCTGTCCTTGCGCTGGTGTGCCAGGCCCGGCACAGGGAGGCCAGCCTTGACTCTTCCCTGCAGTCCCTGTGTGGTGGTGGGAGTCCTTCCTCTCTCACCACTTGTACTTCCATAGCTTCCTTTTCCCTGCCCTGATTCCCAGTACGTAGGACTGCAGCAGGCGTGGGAGTTGCGCCCGCCATCTGTCACGGGCTCATGCCAGCCTAATTTGCTGTGGTAGTGTCAGTGGAGAAGCAGTTATAGGCTTGTTTCTCAAGAACAAAAACCAACTACACAGTATTTTTACACCATCAGTATAATTCACCCACATTTCTATTTTGACCTACTTCTCAGTCTGATGTGATTATATGCCATGTGGCTGAGTAGCAGTGGTGAGTGCTTCGAGGTGATTTGGAGAGTGTAAATGACTTTTGGCTGCAATAAGTGATCTGTCAGAGAACAAAGCAACCAAAAGTCAATTTTAAGCTTTTTTAAATTAACTTGCAATTAAGCTTTTAATTTAAAGCTCTTTACTAACAACGTTTTGTCTCTTCTCTACCTGTCACTGGGAAATGAACAATGGATAACTGCGTAATCTTACAGTTTTGTAACCACATGCAACAACAGCGTTTATGTAACAGTTTGTGTTTTACTGCCGTACTCTGATGCTAGCTGCATTTTAGAGAGCGCAGTATGAAAGTAAGGAGGAGTCCACAGGTAAATAAGGACTTCATTTATTCTTGTAAATGGACCTGTGTTACACTGTGCTTCATTTACACCATGAATTTAACTTGGCCTGGTGTGATTTGGGAGGCTTTTGCCTTCCAAGTTATATTCTCAATGTCTAGTTGAAAGAAACTGTAAAAAACGAAATAAGGTATTGCTACTTCTGCCTTGAATGCAGGCTAATACGAGATGCGTATCCATGACTGTACATCTGCGGATCGTAAGAAAGCATGCAGAAAAAATACTTTCTCTTTTTTTGTAGCTGGAATTAAAAGGTTTTGAATGGAAGAAAAATGAAAGTAGGCTTTCAAAAGCAGTTAGAGAAGTATTTGTCAGGGAGAATTCAGGTTATGTGTGGTTTTTGGTGCAAGGGGCCAGACTCTTGGGGGAACTTTTGAAGTTCTCTCTAGACTTCTGTTTCTGTGAACACGAGTTGTTAGAATACAAGTTGTCAGAAGATTTGGCTGCACATGGTTAGGATGTCTAAACACGAACTACTGGTTTATGCACATTTTTTAGTCCTTCGCCTTTTCTCTTTCTAGTAGCAAAACTAATGAAAGCATCAACACACTGATGGCTAAAGAAGTGTTCTGAACCATATTTTAAAAGGAACGGTTCTTTTCTTTGCTTTCTTTTCCCATCTTCCCCTTCACCAAAATGACTGTAACAGTGTTCTGCTGTTTTCACTATTCCATGGTATTTCCTTTTGGAAAAGAGATCAGGGTAATGTTAAATCCACAAAATATAATTGTCTGAGTGTCCCAGTGTAATCCATGTGAGCGAATATATTTGCTTGTTTTTAAAAAGCAATTCTGATGGGTTTTTTTGTTGAATATTCGCTATTCATAGCTTGCCTTGAATGTTTGTTTTAATACTCTATTTCAAATCTTGTGGCATAATTAATACTGAATCTTTGTCTTGTTCCCACCCCCCCCGCTTTTTTTTTTTTCTCAAGTTTCCAGATGCTGTATGCAGATTGCTATATGACCCGTGAGGAGTTCTGGGATATGTTTGATGGTTCATTATACCATAAGCTGAGGGAGCAAATGAATTGCAAGGATGCCTTTCCGGAAGTGTATGACAAAATCTGCAAAGCTGCGAGACACTGAGCCTGGATGATCTATTCAAGCAATCAGGGAAAGATGAGTTTACCTATAGCTAGTTAGTATATCCTTTTAAAAAAAAGCTTTATTGCTCTCCAAATAAGCTCATTCTTGTTGATGTTTAAAGGTATGAATCCCTGCTTTATAAATTTATGTTTAGTATTTCTCTGTATGTTTTAAAAGCAATTTTCCAAACTCAAAGCGATTGTTTTTAAGAAATCTTAAATGCTAGCCTTTGTATCTGATGTAGTGACGTAGGTGAAATTCACCTATTTCCAGGCATAACAAAAATAACTGGAAAGGAAGATACTGGAGTTACACCAGCTGTATACTATAGCTATATTTAGCATTACTTTTGAAAATGGTAAGGAGGGCTCAGAAATAGGTGCCAAAGCTGAACACATTGTCAAATTAATCGTGGTGTTAAAAACATTTGTCTCCAGTTGGTAACCTGTGGGACAGCTTAGCAATGGTACCATGATCTTGCGGCTGTACAGCGCCATTGATGTTGTGTGGTACTACACGGCTGGGGTTGCACTGTACTGTCATCTCAACAGAGCAGTTAAACGCCCTAACAGTGGTGTCCATTTCAAAACTGAGCCTTGAGGTGCGACGAAAATGCTTTTTACTTGTGCCTATCATATTTGTACTGATTTTGATTCTAAAGTGTAAGTGGATGTAGGTTTTAGGTACTTTGTCATTGGCTAACAGTGCATTGTTTTTTTACCCCAAAATATCCAACGTTCTGGCTTTGTAGACTACTGAAAAAGTAGCTGCTATTTCATATAGCCAAGTTTTAATTCCGGTTTTTACTTGTTGTGGGTCAGTTTATTGGGGGTTTTTTTTGTTCTGTTGGGGGGGGGGGTTGGTTGTTGCTTAATTTTAGTGCCTTATAAATACTCAGTTGGAGGAAGACATGGGTTACTTCAGACCATTCTGTCCTGGCCAGTAGGAAAAGGAAGTCAAGGCTTTATTTATACAAGGTTTGTTAGAGCAAGTGGCTGTGGATAAGAAGAACTCTTGTTGTGAATCTTGATACACACAGGCTTTGGTTATGACTCGAGTGACATTTTTGCTTTTCATTTTAGCTGGGTTAGACTGGTAGGCTTTGTAAAAGGACTGTTTCAGTCACCTGGAGAGGAAATCAATAATAAGTACTGTTCAGTTCCCCTTCTGCTGCTCGCTGGTGAGAACGGCACAGTCATGGACTTCGTACGGTCACGTGTAGAAGCATGGACATGTTTTGACCCTGTAGCCAGGAGCACGGTTCCAAACCAAGCCTGTGTCTTGTCCGAGCAGTACTTGAAATTGTTACTTGAAACCTTACTGAGCTTGAGGGAAAAGAAAGTAATTTTCTTGAGGCTTGTGTTGGGGGTAACGTGAAGAACTTTTTTAAACAGTTACCAGTGGGAGGCATTGTAATTTTTATATGAGTGCTAAACCAATGATTTTATTTATTGATAGATGGATGTTTATGGTCCAGATTAAACCAATGATAAAGCAGTAACAAGAATACATTTGACCCATTACTCAGTGCTGCCTTCTGGGCACATTGTTTGCGAAGAAGGTACCCCTTAAAACCCTGTGCAGGGGACTGGTAGCAGGGGCAGCCTGTCAAGGGGAGACGCAGCCAGAGCCGAGCGCCTGCAGTGTTGCCCAAGCCCCGGAGCCGGGCAGGAGGTGGAGCTGTGTCCATGATCCAGGAGCATCCGCTACGCCGTTACAGGCTTCGGGGTGCACAGGGAGGCAAACGTTGATTCTCGGGGTGTAAGCTGCCCTGCCGCGCCCGCGAGGGAAGCGGCAGAAGAGCCCTTCCCTTGTCCCTGGGGCAAAGCTACGAGTTAACTCAGTGCTTGTAAGATGAGCTGCACAGAGCAAGAATGGGTTTGGTTAGCTTCGAAAGGGCAATGTTAAAACAGCAAGAGGATGTGCAAATACTTCTACTTAGGCTGTGTTTCTCTCACTGATGTGCTGATGATCTTTAGGTTTGCACTGTATTTGTTTTTTCACTCATTTTATTGGCAAACTTCGTATGACGTGATCGGGTACTGTAACTTTATCACACATGCACATGCATAATTGCTGTTGCTCTTAATTTTCAGTTGTACGGGCTGTTTAAAATAAAGATCTAGCCAGCATACTGTTCAAAGCAGTGCCTTTTAATGAATGATTACTTACTTTTCAACAGTTCTGTTTATCATTTCTCGTGCTTGTTGTATTGTTACAAATGGTCAGCGATTAGAGAAAAGCTGCTGTCTGGGCAGGAGACCAGAGGCTTCGGGAGGTGGCTGGGAGCAGCGGGGAAGGAATGTCTTTGAGGTCCCAGAGCGGAGCTTATCTCTGCAAGACACACTGTACAAAACAAACACCTCATAGCTGAGCCTTAACCCTTCAGTTACACCCTGCTAACTCCACGTAGCCCCACGGTGCCGATTACCCTGATGTTTGTTTCCCCTCATCTGTTTATTCTTTCCCTGTGACCTTTCGTCCAAGGAGGACAAAACCACATTTTGGATTTAGGCTGCTCCAGCCGTTGACATGCATAACTATTTCATTATTCTCCCTTCACGCTAATAAATCTCAACCCTGGTTGGAATGAGCAGCCACAGAAGCGAGGATGAATATTCAGTGCACTCCTCAGTCTGAGGAGTTTCTCATCCGCATCTTCCATTTCCTTAGAAAATGCCTTCACAGCAGCTCTGCTGGCTGAGTCGGAGGTTATCCTGCCCCTCCCTTGGTCATGGCTGGCGCGTCCTCTTCCAACGCTCTTTTCCCAGAGAGAAGCTCCTGGGCTTTCTCCTGAAATCTGGGCTGACCAAATGCCTCGGCCGCACTGAAACTGCAGCTCGGGTGCCAAAGCCCTGCCTCCCTCTAACCACGTTCAGCACAGGCACTGCCTGCCGCTGCAGCGCGCAGTCCTCTCTCTGACCCAGCGGTATTTCTGTAGCCTGCGCTTGCCCACGACTCTGCTCCAGCATCTCCCTGCAGCAACCTCCTTCGTTTCCCTCTCTATAACAATAATCGGGAGTTCCCTAAATCACTGCAGTTTCACCTGTGTTCATTATCTCCCCCACCAAAGGGTAATTGCAGATTAATTAGCATACTTAATCAGCCACAACTAACATGTAATTACACCTAGATTTAATTATTCCAGCCTGGTCTAAACACTAGTATGAGATTTCGCAAAGGTTAACTCTTAAGTGAACCAGCGTACTCGCAGTCCATTTTTACGCCCATCCTTTGCCACCACTGACACAGCTCTCCCTTCATTTCCCTTCCTCCATTGCCTCTAGGTTTTAACATCCTACAAAATTTGGAACGATGACACTAAATTCCCCCTAATTCCCTCCAGCTGCTTCTAAACCCTTGCATTTTTAATCCAAGTGAAGCTCTATGTTGCAGCTTGCGATGAAGATCCTTGCACACAGCTACTTTAAAGATGGCACGGGACAGGTACATAGGGAGTTGCTGAAGGCCTGACTACTCTTAACTGCTTTGCCATGGTAGTACTTTCTCCGACCCAGCTCTCTGTTGAGTCGTATTGGTGGACCTGGGGGTCTTCAGCTCTGCTAAGGCCACCGTGCCCGTAATGGGGGTCTGCAACTTTAAGTAGCACCGTCTGAAAGGAAGAGTCTAACCGGGAATGAGCTGTGCGTGCCAGCAGACCTTCCTTCGAAGGACATGCAGCACCTGGCATCCCCTCCTCAAGCGTGTCATTTTTATAAAGGACAGGGTGGGAATAATTAATTACTCGACAGAAAAGTTAGGCTGATGATTGCCTGAGCGGTTTATTACCACAGAACAAGACTTGAGTTGTTTTTTCTCTTGACTTGTATGCCAGCACGCTGTATTTTCATCTGCCCCGTCTCATCTGCGGGCACGTCTGCCGATTACTCACTGATTTGTGCTTCCCAGCACCTTCTTATGTTTGGAAAACAGCAGTGATTTCTTCTGCAGTATCTGGACAACGTGGAGCAGAAATCAAACCACTCCAGTTGTTTTTAGCAACAGGCTTGAGCCGCTCGCTGTGGAAAAACAATGCGATTCAGTGAGCTCAAATTATTGGCTGGATTAATTTCATTAGTCTTAATAAGCATGGAGGTGAACAGAGCTCTTAAAAGCCTGGCTATTCCCGAGTAAGCACAGCTGTAGCTTGAAAAGTGATTTTGGAGCTAGCGCTATTTGATCAGAGAGATGCGTTTGAATTCCAAGTCCTGCTCACCGTTC